TGTTAGTGTTCGCTTTAGTTTATTCTAGGTTTTTTCCGGTCCATTTAATTGTTTTTACTAGTTTTTGCATTTTCGTGTCTTTTTTTGCTTTTATTTCTCTTTTTATCTTTTATTTTATAGGAATGTGCGTTCCAAAGAGTGGCCGGAAATATCTGGAAAACTCGTGGGAGAGTCCACGACCGATTGGCTCGGTCAGTGCCCAGTGGACCTGAGTCCTGCCGCAGCCCAGTGACCAATGCGCCCGCAGAGACCCTTACCTGCCTAGTGAGACTCGTGTCGTACCGAGAGACCCGCGACGCTTTGCACGACCCGCACGCCCAGCGCCACTGTCGAGAGACTCGCAACCTCGAATACCACCCGACCAGTTTGCGAGTGCCGCGCAGCTCACGAATCCGTACACCTGCACACTCGCGACCTCGCGTCTCCTCGGCAAGATCGCAAGTTGCCACGCAGCTTGCAAATCCACACACGTGCACACTTGCGAACTAGCTAGCGTCTTCTTTATGATTACGTAATGTTAGACAACATAACTTTTGAAGTGCTTCCTTACTCAGTTACTTGTGAAAATTTGTACTCTCTTCTATTTTTATTATTTGTCGTTTTGAGAAGCAACACGCTAATTAAGATTTTTTTATTGTCAATATTAACCCTATTTAATGGATGTTATGGGAAACGATGAAGATGAGATATGAAGAGACACTGTGTATTAGATGGAGTGTTAAAAATAGAAAAATATGAACAAAATAGCCAAAACGATATTTATTTAATCAATGATAATTAAGCTATAGTGACAAATAATAAAAATAGGAAGGAGTAGGTTGCATTTTCTTATAAAGTAATCAAATTAATTTAACACTTCACTTAACAAAAACACAAACTAAACACCAAACTAAAAACTGCAAAAACTAGAGCTGGACCTAATTAATAAATAATCTATACTTATATAATAAGAATTAACATATCCAAAATAGTATGTCAAATTATGGTCAATGTCGGATTTGCATTAAATATTTTCCAAAACTGGTAAGTTTTTGTCCTTTTCACACTTCTCATTAATTATGTCATTTTCACACTTCTCATTAATTATGTCATTTTCACACATCTAATTAATTCATTAATTACGACATAATTGTCATAAATCATTCCATCTGAATTTTTATCGTTAAAATGTATAGCGATCTGTTATGACATTATCCCATTGATATTTCCAAGAAGCGTCCTTATCGCGTTCTTTTTTTTGGTAACCACTCTATATCAATAACCGGATATTTGGTTAATGATAGCACACGTCTTTATTTCAAGGAGCGGATATTCTTTGACCTTTAATTAATCTGAACTGATTGCCTTGACTTTTCAATTTTTAAAAACTCTTTTTTTTAATTATTTTGGCTTAAGATTCGGATTTCATTATACAAGTCATCAGATTGTTTGAATGAAAATGAATGAAAAGAACACCAAAAACAGGTAGCCTTATTCATATAATCAATCCTAAAATATTAGTTTGTTCACCAAAAAGAGACAAATTCTAGAAATTCTAAAATATTAATTTGTTCACCAATCCTAAAATATTAGTTTGTTCACCAAAAATATTAGTTTGATTTTTAGGATTTGTCTCTTTTGAAAATATTAGTTTGTGATAATGAGGAGTTACCAAATAATCAAACTCATAATGTTGTGTACAAGGAGGTTTTTAATAATATATGATTGTTACTGAACTTTTTATAATTCAACAATGTTCCTATGTATTTTAATGATTTCAATTTCGATCCTAATGCACGTGAAGTTATATTATTCTTCCAAATTTTACATCCCGTGCATCGCACGGGTTACGTACTAGTTTAAAAGAATAGCATATAGGATCAAATCGTTCCACTGTGGCCTTAGCTTAATCTATGCCATTATGACAGTGACTAATAATCAACTATTACAAAATTGAGATAAGATAAGACTGAAGATAATTATCTCCAATTATGAATTATAATAATAATAATAAATGTGACAGGAAGTCATATCATCCATTGTGAAAGTCTAGTCCAAACTGGGCCTTGACCAATAAAATAGTACTATTTTCCTTTTTTTTTTTTATTAAGAAAATCAGACATCCAGGGCCCAGCCCATATTTGGCCCATTAATTATGGGTCCCGCAGACAGACCCGCGTATTCTTCCCCATGCTCACGCGATGCGTCTGGTCAAAAGTCAGTATTGTATTCATGTCATGACAAGTGTGTTTTTACTTTTTATACAGTTTGGTATATTTTAAATAGTTATAATTAAAAAATCCAAGGATGAAGTTAATTTTTTTTATCAGTGCAAAAAAATATTATTGGAAAAACAAAGTTAATGGAATATTAAATAATATTTTTTTTTTTTCAAATATTAAATGATTGTTATAATGAAGAATCATAATTGTTTGTGATATGATAGGAAAGTAGTAAAGAATAACAATTTATGGTTATCAATATGTGTGTGGTTGAAATATTAGCTGTGTATATAAATGTATAATAATGATTGATTTTAATTTAAATTATATGAAAGGTATGTGAGTGAAGAAAATGGAGAAAATGGATATGTTATATGAATGAAAAGTGTATTTTTGCTTTGGTGGATGATTAAATGGAATTGAAAATATATCCAATTGCTCCAACATTCTTAAGAACTGCAAGGTACAATAATTGAATTTGTATCAAATAACATAATACCTCTATAAAGGTACCATTATTGAATTTGTATCCAACAATATAATACCATTATAAAGTGTACGAAATATCATTTAAAGATACAAATTATTGGTAATAGCATTTGGTGTAAATCCATTTCAATTCTCTAATAATTTTGGTAATTGTAAAAATAATTCCTATATTAATATATGGTGAATATATATTACTTAACAATGCAATTACTAGACGAGTTCTTATGGGAAGGAAAACATCAAATCGTTCACATGCATTTAACATACTATTAGGGTTTGGGGATGTGAGTGTGTAAATGTACGTTGGATGTTTAACCATAAAAACTATACTGAATTTTAATGTTATTATTTTATTAAATAAATAAAATTTGGCATTTGTGGATCATTAATGATGCATGCTTGGTTCGAGCCCGGGCCCGAGCCCGAGCCCTACCACGTGTACGTGAATTTAGCATACTTTCGAAATCCAAGATGTATTTTCCACTTGCTATGTACAACATCCAATTATTAGAATCCAGATCGAGATTCTATCTCTATATACGTATCGCTCATTTGTAAACGCACGTTGTGATTACTTATGATTATAAAGTTTGCAAAATCTCAAATGTTGATTTCTAAAGAGGATAAATTTAATTATTTCACACAATAAGAAAAAATCTCCACTTTCCAATGTAAAAATTACATGAACATGAAACATCTAATGCATGTGAATTCACAAGCAAATTCCTAAGGAGTGAGATTTACTTTTTCAATTTTGTATTTATTCTATTAGATGCATAACACATGTTTATAACAATATCATATTTGTTTACGTGTCTTGTATCAAGTGAAATAAACACGAAATGAAATATAAAATTTAAGCAAGAAAAACGTATAAATAAAAGGTAGAAATGTTTTTTTAACTAATGGTAAAATAATCATTTACTTCGTGTTTTTCCTAAAAACTTAGTACTTAAGGGCAATTGCGTCCATTCATCTAATTCCCACGGTCAAATCCGGAACTATGTGCACGAAAAAATTGCAGTGAAAAGAAGAAAAAAACCTATGGATTCGCTGCTCGTGACACGTCATCTCCCAATCCATAACCTCCAGCTCAGCATGAAAACAAACGGTCCAGATACGTTCCGCAATTCTCATCCGACGGCCAGTGACCCCCCATTCTAGAGACTTCCACGATTCAAGGCTATATTACTCGGGTTGGCTTAACCTAACCGCACTTCACGGGGTAACTCAACTGTGGTTAGAAACATGACGGTCTAAAGAAAAAGGGGCTAAGGCAATCATAAGAAAGAAAAAAAGAACAAGTAGAAGCCATATTATATATACACACACAACACTAGTTTACGCGCAGATATATAGAGAGAGAGAGCACGGTAGAGAGTGAGCACAGAGCAAGAAAGGGTGTAGAGAGAAAGGGGTTTTGGGCCTTTGGTGGCTTGAGGGGAAAGATTAAGTGGGTACCCAAAATCTTGCCGTTATAAAGGACTCGCCGTTTGTTGTCCCGGCCGTCGGTTAATCGCAGGGGTTTTGACGGGTTGTAAAGGGACAGGGAGAAGAGTAGAAGGGGTTCTTCAGATCTGGACATTTGGTGAGTTAATTGAGAGTTTTTTCGGTTCTTTTCATTTTTCTTTGGATTTCTGAGAAAAAAGAATTGATTTTTATTAATCTTGTTTGGAAAGATTGATGGTTTGTGTGTTTTGAGCATCTTTTAAGTTTAAGATGATGTTGATAAGAATCCATTAGTGAGTATGAATGCAGTAAATCATAATTTTGCGGTGCGTAGTGTGTGAAATTGGTTTGTTTTGATGAATCAGATGATGTGAAACACGGTGTGATGCGTGTTTTTTTTGGGCGATTTACGTTTTTTGGTCGAAGAATTTATTGTATCTCGAAATTTAATGTGAGCGATGCTGAAATAGTAATTTCTTGGTGCTTGCTTGCTCATGAGTCATGAATTTACTTGGTGTCATTGCTTTAATGTTTTCTGTTTACAAGGAATGTTTTGTGATTAATTCATTCGACTCTAGTACTCCTTTTTTGATAACTCTCCATGTTTTGAAAACGAAGAATTGATAAAGAAGAAATCTCATGTTAAGTTTGTACTTGCTCACTCTATCTTATTTAGAATTGGTCCTTTTTCTCAAGCAGCAGATTTTTCACCCTCAAGCTTGATTCGAAATGGCTCTGATGATATTATGATCTCATAACAAGATCTTCATTCTCTCGGTAGACTTCTGAAGTAATTGGTGCTCTGGTTCAATTGGCAGTTTTTTCCGAACGTATGTGTTCAGATCTTGGTGTCACGAGTTGATGTTCATTAGTGGATCAGAAGAAGTATTTCTAATTCCTTCACAATTAGCTTCCGAGTTTGGTGTAAGGGAAAAGAATCTCTCTCCTCCCGCCATCTTTGTCGCTAGCTGTGAGGCAAACCTGCTGCCAGCTCGTGCTTTCTCTCTCTTTCATGTCTCCAAACCGCGACAGCCCAGTTCAGACCGAAATGACTGTGCCAGTTTTCAAAAGCCCGCTTGGCGGTGTAGAGTTCGGTGGGCCCAACAACAGATCGGACAACAAACAAACCGGAAGGCGGCGCGTTTTCGTTCAAACCGAAACTGGCTGTGTTCTTGGCATGGAGCTCGGCAGGAGTGACAATGCCCACACTGTCAAGAGGAGATTACAGCTGGCGCTAAATTTCCCGATAGAGGAAAGTTCCTTGACCTTCGGCGACATGATCCTCAAAAACGACCTAAGCGCAGTCCGAAAAGATTCCCCTCTCCTCCTAACTCGGAACTCAATGCACCGCAGCTCGTCAACTCCTTGCCTTTCCCCCACTGGCCGCGACATCCAGCAAAACGAGCTTGGTGGTATGATTGAGATATTAGGCCACTCGACGATTTTCTCCAAGACAAAACAGCTCGTGAAGGAAATAATCAAAGGGGTCAAAAATGGGGTTGACCCGTTACCCATCAACAGCGGGCTCGGAGGCGCGTACTATTTTCGAAACGTGAGAGGCGAGAGTGTGGCCATTGTCAAGCCTACAGATGAGGAGCCCTTTGCCCCTAACAATCCCAAGGGCTTTATCGGCAAAGCACTCGGCCAGCCTGGCCTTAAACGTTCGGTCAGAGTTGGGGAGACTGGTTTTCGAGAAGTGGCCGCTTATCTTCTCGATTACGGCCATTTCGCGAATGTCCCTCCAACTGCCCTCGTCAAAATCACCCACCCGATTTTTAACGTGAACGATGACTTGAATGGAAACTGCAAGACTCTGAAAAAACGGGCCTTTAGCAAGATTGCTTCTTTACAGCAGTACATCCCGCACGATTTCGATGCGAGTGATCACGGGACTTCCAGTTTTCCTGTGTCTGCGGTACACCGAATTGGGATTCTCGATATAAGGATTCTAAACACAGACAGACATGGTGGCAATCTTTTGGTTAGGAAGCTCGATAAAACCGGGCAGTTTGGGCAGGTCGAGCTTGTCCCGATTGACCATGGGCTCTGCCTGCCCGAGACTTTAGAGGACCCTTATTTCGAGTGGATTCATTGGCCACAGGCCTCGATCCCGTTTTCTGATGACGAGCTCGAGTATATTGCGAATCTTGACCCGACACGCGACTCGGATATGCTGAGGAGAGAGCTCCCCATGATTAGAGACGCTTGTCTGCGTGTGTTGATCCTTTGCACGGTTTTTCTTAAAGAAGCTGCGGCTAATGGGCTTTGTCTTGCCGAGATTGGGGAGATGATGAGTCGGGAGTTTAGGAGTGGGGAAGAAGAACCGAGTGAACTCGAGGTTATTTCTATCGAGGCCCGAAGGCTTGCTGCTGAGGAGATTTTGTCTCCTACTACTAAGTTTGGAGCCGATTTTGATGAGAATTTTCAGTTTGAAATAGACTGTGAGGATAGTAATGGGTATGAGTCGAGTATGAAGTTGATCTCTGAGGAGAACTTTACGTCTGTGCCCTTCCATTTTGGATTCGGGAGTTTTAACGGACGAACTACACTCTCTAGACTAGAGGAGACTGTTGAGGAAGATGATGATAGTGAATTAGTAGCAGATGAGGAGAAAAATGGGTTGACTAGTGCTCGAACCGTAGTTAGGCGCCCGGTTGCAGTTTCGAAACTTTCTGTTTCTCTGAATAATACTAGCTTAGCCGACAAAACCCAGAAATCGGGAAAATTTTCGGGTGCAAAGGCAGATAACGGGTATCTTGCCAGCTCATCGTCTGGCCATAGGAGTGCGAACGAGCAGTTACCGGTGAGCGTGAGTTTTGTTAAGCTTGCGGATATGAGTGAGGACGAGTGGGCCCTTTTTCTTGAGAAGTTTGTCGAGCTGCTTGGGCCCGCTTTTGAGAAGAGGAAGTCGGCTAGCTTCGGGCAGAGGCAGAGGCAGAGGCTCGGGACTTCCTGCAAGTTTTGAAGGGTGTGTTTGGGTAGTGTGTGATGTTTGTGTTTACCTGTTGTGTTTGGTTTGATAGGTTTGAAAGGGTATAAGATATGAAAGGTTTGCTTGAGTAGCATTAGATAGTGTGATTGTGTAAATATTCTTTGAAGGCAGCTGAGAATGGAATGCCTGAGTAGCTTTTTTTCAAAAATTAGGCTACTATTGAGTTGAGGAACTTTGAATTGTGATGGTGATCGTGAAATACTAAATTAAATATAACGATTAAACTTGAATTGTATTAAAATAATAAATTGATGAGTTGTAGGTAAAAACATATGATGAGATAGAAATGATAAATGTTAGTAATCTATACAGCACGTAAGATTTGTTTTAAAAAAATATGTTATCTAAATTGAGACAGATAAAGTGGAACAGTAAATATTATATCTTTGAGAAAAAATATCCAATTAAACGGACATGCTTTTTGACTAGCCTTCGGTTACTATGGTTTTGTCGTTGATTGAGGTTATGATGAAGATTTGTCAAATTAGGGATGCATTTATCTTATCTTCGTAGAAAATGAGGTTTCTTTATCTCAGGAAAATATTGTATTTTCCTTTGGGTCCAATAGAAATTACTGCAAATTTCCTTGGTCCATCAAGAATTGTACCTTATATGAATGACAATTTAGTCAGCAAATTTTGACCAAATATAGTAGATGTCATGTAAATGCTTACAAAATATCTCCTCCTCTATATAGAAATACAATGTAGAGTTTTTCGGGCCTGAATGCCAATTTTCATTTTTAACGGTTAATTTATTTAATTAACATAATAATTTTATTATTATAAATTTTTAGATAAGTTATGTTTTATTTACAAAGGTAGATTTTGCTATATTTTTTTTTTATTTTTATTTTATATATGTATGGATGTCAATCAAACATCGTGAAAAAGTGATTAATTTAATATACACTATGAAAAACTATTGACAAGTAAAAACTCTATTAAATTATAACATATATTTATAATTTGAATTAATTATTTTCTTTTCTATATAAGTTTAAGATTCTTAATAGGCATAGATATAAACATGAACTGTTTCGAGTATAAAAAAATCACACATGAAATTATCCCAATTATCAAACACATAAATTGACACATATACAAGGGCCCAATTGGCTACAAGCTAAAATCGATTTGACTAACCGAATAATTTTTTACATTACTTAATTCAAAATTTAATTCACATTTAATTCAACTCAACTCTCTCCAATATTATCAATATAATTAGATAATACCAAACAATCATCCTCACACATCACACCAACTTTAATCCACAACTCATTCACTCGTATATTTTTAACCACCTATCATTTATAATAAAATCCTATTTTTTCAACTTTTTAACTTGAATTTTAAGTTATTCTCAATTAAAAACCTACTTTACTTCTAGTTTTCAATTTAAGAACACAATTAACTTTATATTTTAATATGATTATGTAAACTAAAATACTAGTATTTTAAGTTTTATATTGTAAATATTATAAAAAATATTAAATATAAATTTTAAAATAATATTATTTTGGTTTACATAAATATGTAGAAATATAAAGTTAGTTGGTCTCTTAGATTGTGAGCTATAATGTAAAATTAGGCCTTCATTTGATAATAACTTAAAATTGAAACACTCAATTGAGAAAGTTAAAATTTCAAATTCTATTATGACAACTATAAAATGGAATTTCTCATTTTATATCACATCAGTTTTAATCCTCCACACAATCAACTTTATTCAAAGTGAATTTACTTTAACCAATAAGTACAATCAAAACTGTTTTATTTATATTCAATCGCCCGGTTGATTTCTTTTTACCCCATGGGTTGTGCCCAAATGGGTCTTTGGCTATATATTTCACACACCTACATAAGTGTGTGTGAGTGTGTTCAAGTCTATGGCCAAAACCCCATGAGGGCACTACGGCATGGTGTAGAATTGACCCTTCTCAATCACCCCTAAAAATTCATATGCAACATCAAAAGAGTACTATGCCTTTATATATAAGAATTGATAGTTTAAGACATAAAAACATAACACCTAAAGTTAATAATTATTTATTTGATATGAATGCCAATCGAAAATTCTGAAAATTATTAATTTGATAAAATAATATATGGAAAAATATTAAATTTCAAGATATTTTTAATAATTGAAGTTAATCAAAAATTTTATAAATTTAAAAATCTCTATAGGGACAAATAAATTTAAAAATCTCAATAGGGACAAATACAAGTTTCACATGAACTATTCAACGATTAAATAGTTGACACATAACACATGAAATTACTAAGTTGACACGGGAACGGGGAACATATATTGATACATGAACTACAACACCAAAACTCATCTGTGTTTATTATACCTAGCTACTAGCTAGGATAGATAGTCTTAAGACTTTGATAATCATAAAAACACTCGGAATTATAAATGTATCTTAATTATAATATTTTTTTAATTATTATCTATTTTTTATGTGCAACATAAAATTAGTTATTTTTTATGACCACCAGTTTGACATTCACGTCACATATATGGAATAAAAAATAGTGTAATTTTAAGAAATATTTTATAAATTAAAATAAAAACTTTTATTTTATTTCACTTTTTTTAAATCATTTTATGTACTTTAAAAAAAAAATGAACATCCTTATTATCATTGTTGAGGATTACTAGTATATATAAAAAGAACATCTATATCTATGTAATTGTAGGATAAACATTTAATAAAATTATTTGGTTTCCCTCCATTTTGGTTACAAAATTCTATCATTAATATTTTTTTACCTTTCACATTAATAAATCCTATTAAGTGTTATCATATATTTTTTGCTATTATATTATATAAAAGTTAATGCTAACACCAAACTAATAATTGTTCACACTAAATACAAATTACATAAGTACAAACAAGTCTATAGCAAATTTTTTTCTTCAGTTATTTATTATAAAATCAATATTATCTTGTTTTATATATATATATATATATCATGAAACAATTTTCTTTAAAATAAAATAGCTTATTAGTTTTAATCATAGTTAAATCACTTTAAAATCTTATAAAAAATTATTTCTATAATAATAATAATAATAATAATAATAATAATAAATATTTTCAATTAAATTATTTGACAATGATCCCTACAAATCATAAAAATTACATTACCCACAATTTTTTTCCATCAATATAATGATTCATATATATTTAATATTTGTATTATTTTATTTTTACTAATGATCAAATCTTGAAATTGTGATATGTTCATTATGTACAATTTTACTATTAAATTNAAAGAAAAACCTTTCGAAAGTACGAGAGATTGAGGCCATATCCCATACATATAAATAGATCAAAATCTTAATTGAGGCGAAAACACAATCAATGTACCGAATAACAAATGCAAACGAAAAATGAAATAAAAAAGCATAAATCAAAACTTGGGCTAACAGGGGTCAAGTGATACAGTCCGCACCACAAATGTGGGCTAATGTATAAATCAACACCTAAACTAGTGAATATGAAAAAATGGGCATCCAAGTGATACAATCCGCACCACACCGGGGAATTTACATACATACATATCCGATTGTTAAATAATTATAAATCTACTACATTTAAATTTAATTTGTACATCTACGAACATCACGTTTTTTTTCTCTTTCCACTATCTTTAAATATGATACGTTTTTTCTCTTTTCTCTCTCTTTAAACACATCACATTATTTTTCTCTTTCCTCTCTCTTTAATAATTTTTTTCTTCTTCCCCTATTTCTTCCCCAGTTTCTTTTTATCTTTCCACAAGCTTTAATTTTTTTCTTCCTCCCCGATTTTTTTCCCGTTTCTTTTTAGGTGGTTCGCCTCTCGATTGGGAAAATCGAACCCTAATCCTACCGGATAAAGGAGAACCAAAATGCATCGTATACAGAATATATACTGAATATATAGTTATTATATACAAAAGACATACAGAAGATAAAAGAAAACTAAAAAGACATTATATACTAAAAATATACTGAATATATAGTCATTATATACAGAAGACAAACATAAGATATACAGAAAAAAAATATAGTCATTATATACAGAATATATGCCGAGCATATACTGACAATATATTATATGAGTTGTTCGGTTTTGTCACAACACCAGATCCTGGCGTAGGGTTGTCAGACGTGGCTTGGCCGCCCTCAACCGAAATCCGCCAGCCTGCTTGTCTTCCTCTCTGCCCATGGTCGTCTCTCGTTAGCGACCAGATCTAAGGTTCGATTGTCACGTGTTCGATCTGAGCATTTGTTACTACTTCAATCCTAAATGCGGGCTTTCATAATTTCATTATCAGGCTTACCCCCTACTGACCGCGCCGCACCACCGCCAGTGTTCTGATTCTCCGCCTTTTGAGTCTCTACACAAGACGACCTCCGACCACCCATTGGTCACTGTGCGACCTCAGTTCGAGAGATTGAAGTCAGTCCGCGCTGCTTTCACCCACTGGTCATCGCTCCTCTGACCGCCACCAAGGCATCGTCCACCGTCAAGATCTTCAAAATTGGGATGGGAATACAAGAAAATGGTGAGGCTGTTTGATTTTGGATTTGGGAAGTTATAGGTGTCTGCAAATTGATGAAAAGAAGAAGAAGAAGAAGAAGAGATAAGAAAGAGATAAAGAATTGACGGAAAGAAAAATGGGAAGATAGGGTGTTGAATAAAGAGTGTGGTATAATTCCAAATAAAAAGTAGGATGTTAGCATAATTGCAAATAAAGAAATTATTTTGTATATGTACAATTAAAATTGCTCCTGGTGGTGTAAAGGATAAATTTCTCCACCACAAATGGGACTAATAGGACTAAAATAATAAGGGTTAGATATTATCTAGGCTGTGTTTGGTAAGCCAAATAAGCTAGCTTATAGCTTATTTGGTTAAATTATAAGCTTCATGTATTCAAAAAAGCCTCGTTTGGTAAGGCGAACTTTTTTAAAAAGCTCTAGCTTATTTGATAAGCTTCTTTAAATAGCTTTTCAAATAAGCTAGTTGAATTTTTTTATTCCAACTAACTTATCAACTAATTTTACCAAACACTTTTATCATAAGCTAGCTTTTCAGCTATAAGTCATAAGCTATATAAGCTATAAGCTAAAACATTACTGATAAGCTATAAGTTAGCTTATCAGCTATTAGTTAGCTTATCATTTAGTTTTACCAAACATAGCCCTAGACTAATAAGATATTCGAGAATGAACTAATTATTAATTAAATAAATAAATTAAGAATTAATTTAACTAACAAATGAAAGCTCGTTCTAACCTACGAATGAAACAAAATATTAACACGTAAATTCTAGATTAAGTTTTCCTTATAATTCATTCACGGAATATTTTAATTTTATCAATTGAGGAGATAATCACTAAATTAACTAGCATCTCTATTGAGCAAGTTAAGTCATATGGCAACATGAAAAAAATCATATCAATCATAAACCCGAACATAAAAAATATAACAAACCAAAGAACAAAATGGAACACTAGAAAAACCAATCAAATCACAAAAAAATATATCATGTCCCCATTAATAAACATCAAGTTACACACTCAAATCATAAAAAATAGATAAACCATATATATATAAAAGTACAATCAAACATAAACTGGAAATATACTATCCCTAGACCAGAAATAAACCATAGTTTTCCATCATAAAAAAATAATTTATCAAAATAAATAAAAAACAAACTATAAAAAAACCATTTCTAAGTTACTTCGGCCCAACTAATTCACAATGCCTCTCGACCCAATAATTTCAAAATTTTCAAATTAGACAATTTTCCATCCTATTCCTTCAAAGAAACCATTGCCAATTATACTATACTATATTCATATATCTCCAAACCATGATACATAACAAAAAATATTGAAAAAAAAAAATGAAAGATACATAACATATCACGTTATCACAATATTACTCAAGTATATTATATAAAATGTTGAGTTAGAAATAAATATCGTATAATAACTTGTATAATAAGTTACTTCAAACAAGGTCGATATACTATGAAACATGTCTCCATGGCCTTTCAGCAAGATTTACGCACTCCCCATATCTAAAACAGTCGACTAGATGGTCGATAGTCATCCCGACTGCCTGCATGAACGAATACACAATCACGGGCCCCACGAGTCGGAACCCGCGCCTCACCAAATCCTTACTTATAATATCTGATTTTTGACTTCTTAATGGTACTTTCCTTGGATATTTGAACTTGTTGATCAATGGTTTGTAGCTCACATAGTCCCACATGTAGCTGCTGAAAGATCCACATTCACTTGCAACCTTAATGCACAAGATTAACTAACTCTTTTTAGTGTGAAAAATTAGGATACCTGCAAAACTTAGCCTCAAGATTAGTGTAAACTAGTATTCGACCTGTGCATTTGCACAGATATAAATAAAATATTGTGAGTTATTTGTGTACATATAATGATTAATGATTTTTCTTCCACTTTTTTGCAGACCAAATTTACAATTAAAAAAGTTAGAATATTTATTTTTTTAAATTGTGTTTATCATATTGGATGTAATGTATATTTTGGTATGCATTTTTTTATGTGAATTATTATTTATTTAGGAATTTCAAATACGTTTTTTATTTTCCAAAAGAAGTTAATTTAAATGTAACCACAACAATAACATCTAATCACGTTAAATAGTCAATACATTATATGGTCAGCTGTAAGTAAATCAAAACTTTAGAATAATTTTTATAATTTTGAAGTGATTAGTGTGTTGATTATATAATAATTAAATGAGAGGTTAAATAAATAAAAAGTAACAGTTTTTGGAGGGAAAAAGTTATATTGCCACATAGGTATAATTTAATAGGTTTTATTAAATGCTCATGAGCCAACAATTATATATATATATATATAGATATGCAAGAAATTAATCTTGATTCATCTTTCACATTAGAAAAATAATAAGGTAACTTAAGAGAAAATAGATACTTGCACTCCGTTCTGAAGACTGAGTAAGTTTTTCATAGCGTTGGATTATAACTTAACCTTTTCACTTCAGAAAGTGGGAAAACATTATGCGATAATTATACGACAATTGTGCATATGACATTGTGCAAAATTTTAAAATACGAAGACATTCGCATAACTCATCCCACTTTTTAATGTGAATATGCGACAATACTTATGCGAACCATTCGTATAACCTTTGCATTTTCTGGGATGAAAAAGTTAGTTTGTTAGCGAGCGAGGTGAAAAACTTAATTAATAGGCAAAATTTCAAAATTGGTCTTATAATTTGGCCACTGTCCAAAAAACCACCCCGATATTGACCATTTTCAATTTAGGTCCTATAATTTGTCGATTTCATCAATTTTAGTCCTTTTTTTTCCGGACCCTGGATAAAAATGTGACGTGGCGATGACATGGCGATCTTTTATCTGACATGGCAGTTTTATTTGAATTTGATATTTCAATTATGCCATGTGGAAATAGGGAAAAAAAACTATAAAAATAAAACCAAAAAAATAGAACTTAAACAGACACGTGGAGACAAAAAAATTAGAACTAAAAGATAAAAAGAAAAATAAAGAATTTTACCAGCACTTTCGACACCATTCAAAAAAAGAAAAAAGAAACACGACACCATCAACCAGAAGCCGAACAAAAACCAACAAATCAGAGTTCTGACACCATTGCTTGTGTTAGAGTCCGTCCAGCAGCCACACGTTCACCCTTCAACCAGCAGCAACGCCTCCACAGCCCCCTCGCCTTCGCCACCGTGGAAAAAACGGGTTGCCAGAAAAAAACGGGGCCCCAAAAAATTAGTCGGTTCTGCAGATGATGGACATCATCGGGTGTGAAGCGGCCTAAGGAGTCCAGAGGTGTCTTCGGATTTTGGTGGGTCGCCGTTAATTGCTGGAAAATTAAAGAAGAAGCCAGATTTTGATCAAAATTTTCAAGATCTACAAACTTTGACTAGAGTAATTGACGGTTTTATCGATGGAATTTTCGTCTGAAATTTTAGGAGATGGAACGAGAATGAGAAGAGCTTCAAGATGATATAAAGAAAATTCAGATATGAGGTGGTTGGCCGGCGAACGGCAGAGGCGGTCGGCGAACGTGAATGGGTGAAGACAAGTTGCAGGGGCTCATTTTAAAAAGTTTAATAAGTTTTATGGACTTTTTTTTACAAATTCAAAAGGTTTACTTAATTGCAACTAGGGACTTGAACTGACGTGGATCATTTAACTTTGAAGGAATTTTCATAATCCCGCCACGTAATACACAATCATGCCATGTCAGTTTTAAAAACGCCACATCACATTTTTATTCAGGGTCGGAATAAAAAAGGATCAAAATTGGTGAAATCGACAAATTATAGGACCTATATTGAAAGTGGTCAATATCGGGATAGTTTTTTGGATAGTGGCTAAATTATAGGACCAATTTTGAAATTTTGCCAAACTTAATATATCTTCAGGTCGAGGTGTAAAAGATATTGTCCCTAACTTCAATGTGGTCGACTTCCCTTCCTTTGTAATAGTTTCACTACAATAACCTAACAAAATACTTAAAGCTATATAAACTTCAAGGTGGTTATGTAATTAGACATGACATCATATTTTGTTAATTCACAAATTCTTGTGTGTTACGTATAATCTTTAGGCGGATTGATCTATAATACATTTTTAACAAAAATACATACTTATGCTACAAAAATATTAAACTTTCGTTTATGTTATTATTTTAGAGTGACATTTTAGTTTGAAAGTATGTATATCTGTTGAAAAATATAGTTGTCTTGCCGTTACGTCTCAAATCTACCTAACGAAAGCCTTACTAACTGACTGTTGTTAATTTAGACTTCATGACAATTACAACAATCTCATAGGATGTATTAACTGTAGTTACAACACAAAAAATAACTCATAAATAACACACACACACAAAAAAAAAATGAAAATGAAAAAAGTAGTTACCTTTCTTATGCATTTTGCATTGTCCACTATGCACCTCACTCTGCTTTCAGCTAATTTTAGTTCCTTGTCTGAGGCTTTCTCAATAATCTCTTTCTCACTGATTTTGCTCACAAATTTAGGATCAAAACCTCCAAAAGCTTCTCTATGTACACATCATTTCAAAAAAGTTGAAGCTTTTGAGAGAAAAAATATGGTAAAGTAGCTAGGCAAAGCTCGCTCTAATTAAAAACTAAAATAATAACCCAAAAAAAAAAAAAAAAAAGAAAACCATAAATACATAGGAACTAACCTTAGAAGTTCTCTCTTTTTCAAGATCTCAGTCCAGTTGAAATCCATAAGCATTCCACACATTGCAAGCACCTCGAACAACCGACTTTTTCACATAATTTGACGATTACGCATACACCATTATTACAAAATATTTTATGAGGATACATAAAACTTATTTATGGATTATAAGAAAGTTAATGAACTTACTTGTCGTCATAAACCGGAACTCCCCAGCACTCGTCGTGAAATCGTACGTAAACTTTATCTGCAAATTAAAAAAATCTTAATTAACTCAACTTTGGAGAAGGGAAAAATGCAATGCTGTATTGTATTGCTATAGTTTATATATTTTTATTTTTTTTTCGTAATCTTACCGCTATTGTTCGTAATCCAATTGCACCGCTTGATTAAAGACAGAGAAGATAATGAAGAAGCTGAGCAAGTTCTTTGCAGCCTAATTGGATAATTATTTTTCAGATTTTTGGATAATAAGTTGTTTTTATTAGCATTTGGCATCTCTTTTTCCTTGGAATTGATTTTGATCCTCTCTTGAACCTGTTTTTTGACATATACTTGCTTGGACATCCTAAAAAAAATTAAATAAAATGAGTTAATGTAGTATACTTAGAACATGACAATATGTGAAGTTGCAAGAGTTTTATAAGCCAGAATTTGATAATGAAAATCAAATAATTAGTCATAAAAAAATTAAAATGGTATCAAAGTGTGTCTCAGAGAAGTTTGGTAGGAAGAATGTGGATTTCGGAACTCATTTTGTTCAATTTTGGTACTTTATTCTCAAGCAAAACTGATAAAAATGGTTTTTTTGAAACTGTCAAATAGTAGCAGAAAATGACACCTGAATTTGAATGCAATCTAAAAGCAGAAAAGATTCTTTTCATGTGAGAAAAATCTTGCTTCAGAGTTGTGTTGGAAAAAAAAAAGTTGATCCATGGATGTTTTTGTGTTTTTAAGTATATTAATGTATACAACTAATTTCCAATAATAATATATAAGTATCAGCAAATTAATTGATAATTAGTATTCAAACAGCCAGACACTTGGATGACTCATGTGTGTGCTCATCTAATCAAGTCAAATTCAAACATCATAAACCAATTATTTAAAAAGCTACACCTAATGGTCACATACAAAGTGAAATATAAACAAAGAAATACTTTTACCATTCAAAAATATGTTGAACTGTTATTGTCTAAATTCTTGAACATACTAATCCATGATCCTTAATGTTATTGAAGTTCCACCACTAATTTCCAATAATTTATTGATTAAAACACTTACCAACTTAAACTTGATCATAATTCTCTTTTCCTTTTCCAGAAATTGGATAACAAATGTGTTGAGTTTATTTACCTCAGAAAGCAATATTGACTTTAAAAATATACTATCTTCTTGAAGATTAACAAACAATCTTAGTTGGAAAATTTGTTTCCATTGAAACTCATGGGGATTGAAGAATGAGGCTAACTCATTGCCTCAAAGACAAGGATACATCATCTATTTTATTTTATTTTTCTCTAATTTCTTGGTCTTTCTTTGACTACAGACTAGTACGTACCCCGTGCGATGCACGAAACAGCGATATTAAATGAGTTATTTTCACACATTTGTCCGTTTAACTCTAACAAATATAGAGTTATTATCTATTTTCTACCTCTTTTAATCAACGTTAAGTCTAAAAACAATAGGGTTATTATAAGTTTTTTTCCACATCTTTTAACCAACGTTGTTTTTTTAGCTAGATCATTAAATATGAGCATGTTAGACCTAGCTTGTAAAATAATTAATATATTATCTCACTAAAAATTTATACTAATAAAAATTTAATTTTAACATATAAATTTATCCCTTGATATAAGAGACAATAACAATTTTACTTATTGTTGTTCACAGTATAATATTTAACTAGTACAAATCCCGTGCGATGCACGGATAAACGATATTAATTAATATTTATAAATTAAAAATTATATTAAATAATATTTATAAATTTGAACATGGAATCAATATGTAACAATGTACCTATATAATTTATTGAAAATGTCATATAAAATTTAAATTGTGCAAAATTACGTAAACTGTCTATGTAAAATTAATACACATCCCGTGCGTTATACATAACTGATAATAAATTACATTATATTCATTTCAAAATATATGTCATTTCAAAATTTTATTCAGAAATTCGATTTGACTATAACGTGATTCCAAAGCCACTTCCTTTCTTTTTGTCCAAGTCACTCCTAGTGACAAACTCTTATGTTCCTTTTATTACTGTATCTATGGCGAAGTGCATGATTCACCCGTATTTTGCAGATGAAAAGTATTTTTGAGGAGGATGATTTTGGTATTGACAGAATTTGAAATAATTGAGTTTAGACATTAGCTAGGATCTTTCAGAAAACGGATTCCTATTCGAAGAGCGTGACAAAATTCGGTTATTGGGGAAAAATCAATAAATAATTATTTTGGTAAAATTTTATCATATATTTAAAACCCTATGTGAATAATAAGTATAAATAATGAGACGGAATTTTGAATTCGATAAATTATAAATTATAAATATATATTTAATTTTTGATTTATATAAAAAGATGTTATTGTATTTTGCCTAATTCCAAATTTTTGTTCAACCCGATTTCAAGGCAACTAAATAATGAATAAAAAATTTTAAATTTTAAATTTAAAATGAGAACACATTTTCTATGCAATAAGATTTTTTCAAAATAAAGTGATAAGGAACTATGCATTTATGGTGACCGATTTTCTAGCAATTAGTTAAAAAAATAATAATAAATGGATGAATGTAGGATTAAATCATTTATGCAGTCCAAATTTTTGGCAAGGAATTAAAAAAAAATGAAAAATTACTGAAAATAGAAAGTAATAAATATTGTTTGACTTTTCTTCTTACTAAATTTGATAAATAGTAAATCTTTATATATATATAGATTATTATATTATTATATAATAAAAAGGAATACTGTTAAATATTGTAGTAGAATTGTTATAAAATTATATGAATTATTTTTCTTACAATATGGATTTAATACCTTTTAATGATTTGATAATATAACTATAATATATTTTAATGATGTAATAATATGAGATACGAATTTACATAATACTATGGATTTATTCCTTAATGTTAAGATATTGAATTAGATATTATATGTTTCACTAATTTGTAATCTGTCTCTTTTTATATTGAAAATAATCATGTGATTGAGTAGAGATAACAATTATCTATACATTCTTTCGTTTAATGAATAATTTTTAAATTGGTCCAAGTGTTGAATGCAGCCGGATTTTCTTGTAACTAAAATGAGAAGAGATTTTGAATTTCAAATTTCCAATTCAAAAACCACACGTAAATTTGGATGTAGATTTTATTAAAAATAAAATGAGAAGAGATTTTGAATTTCATATTCACTTCAATATCTGTCGAAATTTTCAAAAATAAATTCAACAAAACCCATAATTTTAGGGGCATTTAATGCTACCATATTTTATGATTTAAAATATCTAAAACTTTCTAAATATGGTGTGCAATTAATTATGAGTTGACTTTTTTTTCTATTAATTTTAGTAAATGAGATGACTTTTTATATAAGTATAGATTTGTTAACCAATGGTAGGTTCATGGTTGAACTATCATATGATGAATTAACATTAACAAAATATTATTCATTGAAAATGGTTTTGTAAGAAAACAAAGAGAGTAGAACAAATAATACAAGGGAAAACCCAAGATAATTAATATTGAATATCATAATATAATTGTAAGGGATGATGAGATATATTTTATCGAAAGTTATATATTTTATCGAAAGCTATATGAAAAGAAAAGGAAGAATGCTTAAAACGACGCCGTAACGGCTATCCCCTTCAAAACAAATCTGTACTATTTTTATCCGTCTTAAACCCTAAACCCTCAGCTCTCCTCTCTTTGTTTACGATGCTCAATGTTCCGATCGTCCGCCATACGACGCCGTCTGTTCATTCGACTCCTCCATACTAAACCCTGTGCTCTCTCCCCCACTAGCGCCGCCGCCTCCGCCCCTGCCGCAGATTTTCCGGTGAGCGACACCGTCTCGCAAATTATTGCTCATTTCAACAACCCGTCCACCCCTTGCCGCAGGTCGAGTTTCTTGCTGAAATCCCTCCAAAACGAGGCCTGGTTCATCAGTGAAGCCCGCAGATTAGCTCCTCATGAAATCGACACTATCATCGAGAACCTCGACCCGCAAAATGCAATCTGTTTGTTCTTTGTTCTACAGAACGTGTTCGGCATCCGCCACACGCGGAACGCAAAGTTCGTCGTCGCCCATTTGTTGGCCGGAAAGCAGCGTTCGCGCGGACTCCGGTGCCATCTTCAGCGGGTGCTCGAAGAAGAAGGTAACTCTGCCTTTTCTGCTTTCAAATGCGCCTTAATGGGTAACTTATATGTTTTGTTATAGATACAGAGGCGTTTGGCTTAATATTACCTTGATAAATTTACTTGATAAGCTTGGGGATACATGAATTTTAACTTGGTCTAGTTTACATTACATGGTAGAACCCTTTCCTGGACTACTTTAAGATTTCTAATTCTTCCTTTTTATAGATCTTTTATGATTTCTATCAGGCTCCGGGTCAGCACTTTCATTCTGCAAGCTCCTTCGTGAGAACTTCGTGGGATGGGCTTCAAGCCATACAGTATGGGACATGCTGGCATTCGTGTACTCCAAAACTGGCATGGTCCAAGATGCCCTTGCCATCCTCTCCGAGATGAAGGACTTAGATATCCAGCCTTCAGTCATGACGTACAACAGCTTGCTGCATAACCTGAGGCACACGGACCTCATTTGGGATGTTTATGGCAAAATCGAAACCACCAAATCCCTCCCGACTGAGTACACATACTCGATCTTCTTAGATGGCCTGTGCCGGCAGTCCCTAATCAACGAGGCCATTGCATTCCTGCGTGAGATTGAAGAAAGAGAGGCTGAGCCATCTGTCATCTGGTTCAACACCCTCATGTCGGGATTTTGCCGGATGGGATTCGTGGATATTGCAAAATCTTTTTTCGTCAAGATTTACAAATATGGGCTGGAGCCTGATGCTTACAGTTACAATATCCTGATTCATGGGCTTTGCGTGACTGGGTCGCTGAAAGAAGCACTGGATTTCGCAAAAGACATGCAGAATCACGGGCTTGAGCCCGATGAAGTGACCTACAATATCCTCGCCAAAGGGTTTCGCCTGCTTGGCATGGTTGACGAGAGGTGGAAGATAAAAGAGAGGATTTTGCATGACGAGTTTGGCCCGAATGATGACTTGACCTACACGTTACTGATTTGTGGGCACTGCATGACGGGTAACGTTGAGGAGGGTTTTAGAATTCGGGACGAGATGCTGTCCAAGGGCCTTAAGTTGGACCGTATTTCGTACCGTGTTCTGTTCAGCAGCTTGTGTAAAACCGGGCAGATTAGAAGAGCTCTGGATTTGCTGTATGAGATCGAGGGTGTCGGTCTAAAACCGGATCTTTTTATGTATTCTATGATAATCCATGGTCTTTGCAAGCTTGGGGAGGTACAGAAAGCCATCCAGCTTTACAAGGAGATGCGTTTGAAGAGCATAATCCCGAAATCTACCTTCCAAGGGGCTAATTTACTAGGATTGTGCAAGAAGAGAACGATTTCCGAAGCAAGAAGCTATTTCAATATTCTGACTGAAAGTGACTTGGTGCAGGATGTCCATTTGTACAATATCATGATCGATGGGTACATTAAACTCGGGAGTATGGAGCAGGCTCTCGAATTGTACAAGAAATTGTTGCAGAAAGGGCTTGCCCCAACTGTAGTCACTTTCAATTCTCTAATTAACGGGTCGTGCAGGAACAGGAATCTTGCCGATGCATGTAAATGGTTCGAAGTCATTAAAATGCATAATTTGACACCGTCAGTTGTTACTTACACTACACTTATGAATGCTTTTTGTGAGGCGGGAGATCCAGAGGCTGCATTTAGGCTGCTCAAGGAAATGCAGGCAAATGGGCTGGAGCCAAATCGAGTTACTTACACGGTAGTGATGAAAGGTTTGTGCATGGAAGGCAGACTTGAACAGGCTCTCGAGGTTCTTGAGGTTATGTCGACAAAGGGCCTTTCCCCAGATCAAGTTTCGTATAATATACTTATACAGCGCTTTTGCAGAGCTCGGGCTCTTGGACGAGCATGCAAATTAGTGGACAATATGGTTCGCCTCAATATACAGCCGAGCTCGGCCACGTATGAGATTCTCATCAATGGTTTGTGCGTGTATGGAGACCTGAGTGGTGCCGAGACTGTATTCTCTTCTCTCCAAGAACAAAATGTTGGACTGTCGAAAGTTGCATATATGACTCTATTAAAAGCTATTTGTGCAAAGGGTGATGTTCGAAAGGTTAGGGTGCTCTTCTGTAAAATGGGAGAAAACGGGTTTGAATTTTCGGTGAAGGATTACAGTGCTGTCATCAATAGGCTGTGTAAAAGATCTTTTTTAAGTGATGCTGTGGATTTTTTTCGGATGATGCTGATCGATGGAGTTGTTCCTGACCAGCAAATTTGTTCCGTTATTATTGGTTCTTTAGAGGGCGCTGGCAAATTCAGTTGTAAATCTCAGTTTTGTGCTTTCATGTTCAAATGTGGCTTTGATCCCGATTGAATCGTACAAGAGTTTTCAGGGTGCTTATAATCATAATACGTCCTCTGGTGTACAAGGCATGGAGCTCTTGAACGTGTGACGCATATCCACTCGAATCACAAAAAACAATAAATTGGTAAGTACAAAACGTATTTGATTAAGGGTTGGTACGTGGTATATAGATGGTCCTTCAATTGCAAGTGATAGGCAACTTTTACAAACACTTCAACTAATTTTGCATCAGAAATATTTTTTCGAGGAGAAGTATTATGCCAAAGTCTTCTCTTGTGCATTCTTGGAAATGGCACTTATTTTCTTCCAAAAGCGCGCGGTTAGTAGGAATTCCAATTTCTGGTTTGTTGATCTATTAAATTTTTATCATTAAATTAGTACTATTAATATTATTGTTGTATTTGGACCAGTGGCATGTCATATCCTAGGATTGCCGGATAAATTTTGTTTTACAGTCTTGACGGCACAAAAAGAACTTGTGAAAGCAGTTATATCTTATTTGGACCCAACTTAGTCCTCGGGATTAGATTCACGCCAGGCCATTTCTCGTCATTGTGCATTACCAACTTTTGCCATATCAGGTACAAAATTTTTGGTTCAAGCTATAAGGAATTTGCATTGTTTTTTGCTCCTACCCCTTGATTTGGACTTTGAAGCTGGCCTTTCACTTCAAGTTGTCCAGTACATAGAAAGAGTTGTATATAATGCCAGCTGATATATGGAAGCCCCACATTTCAAGTCGATTGCCTTCTTAAAATATGCATTCGCGATACTACTTGTGTTAGGTAACTAATTTCGAGAATTCCTCCTCATGTTTGTTCATCTCTTTCATGTTTATTCAGGTTGAAGAATCGTGTAAAGCTCGTAATATTGCTCGAAGCCAGCAAGACATTTGTTGCTGTTCGGTTTTTCTGAAGCACGAGATAGAGCATTTCATTGAGATATTGATTCTGAATTTTTTCATTTTCCATTCATACTACACAATTAGGAATTGGTTAGTACTAGCCTAGCAGCTCTTATAATTTTGGAAAAATGGTGCAAGGTGTAAAATGCCACTAATATTCCTCATTGCTAATTCTTCTTATACACAACATATATAATATCCCTTTTGGTTCTTTAATTACAAAACCATACATTATACACTCAACTCAACATATATAATGTTCAAGAGGAAAGACTCAATAAAAACCTTACTTTTATGTACTTGTATTATGATACATACACACTCAAATTCCATCATTAACATAACTAAATAGAGCAAAACCTTGTTTGGTATATGAAAGTACACTCTCAAAGTTTCATTACACACAACTTGAAGCATTTTTGACCACCCTAAGTTTACCTAGCTCTTGCACAAGCCCATCCAAATCCCTATTAGAACTCCCTCCAATCGCAATTGCTTCTAATGCACCATCCCTCAACTCCTTAGCCCTAGCCCTCTCCTTCGAGCCCACACGAATCGACTCGGATATCTTTCGGGCCAGCTCATCCGGGTCAGGCACTGTGTCCCCTCCTTCACAAACCCTAAATGCAGCCCCCAAGTAATCCACCAACAGCTTGGCGTTCACGAACTGGTCCGCTTCCATGGGCCAGCCCAATATCACAGGGCCAGCTACCACCGCCTCCAGTAAAGAGTTCCATCCACAGTGGCTAAGGAACCAGCCCACTGCCCGGTGGCCCAGTATCGCTCTCTGTGGGGCCCACCCTCTCAAGACTAGGCCGCGGCCCGAGACCCGGCTGTCAAACCCGTCTGGGACGGGCCCGTTTGTGGCCCAGATGAAACGGGCCTTGCTTTTGTCAAGCCCGTTTGCCAGCGCCTCCATTTGGGCCGTGCTGAGAACCTTCTGGCTCCCGAAACAGACGAACAGAACTGAACTGTCGTCGTTGCACTCGTCCAGCCATGAGATTACTGCGTGATTTTGGGGATCGGGCGAGTCTGGGCCCGGCCTGGATACGATGTTTAACGGGCCGACAGTGTAGAATCGTGGGCTGGACATGGCCTTTTTCATATGGGCCAGAAATGGGCCTTCCAGGGCCTGGAATGAGTTGGTGATGGCGGCCCAGGCTGAGAAATTATCGATCATGGAGGTTCTGTGCAGGTTGAAATGGGTACCGGCAGCAGAAGGCCCGGATTCCTTGTACCGCCGGAACACGGAAGGAATGTGTTCCCAGGGGAAGCTCGGAGACCCCGGGAAATCGGGAAATTCCAATTCTGCCCCTGGATCGACGCTCTCTGAGTTCACCCAGAGGCTGTTGAGGAGATCCACCGCGAAAGCGCCGGAGCTGAAGAACACGATCCGGGGGACGGCGAGGCGGGCGGCGAGGCGGTGGGTCCAGCCGAGGAAGAAATCGGAGATGGGGTCCTGGAGGGCGCTGAGGGCGGCGATCATGGGAAGGTTGCCTTGATTGCCGAGATCCTTGATGTGCTCGACGCCGGCGGGAATTGAGGGGTGGGAGGGGAAGGGGAGGGTAAGGGTTTGGACGGAGGAGGGGTGGGCGGCGAGGATTGGGGCGAGGATCGGGAGGTTGCCGCTGGTGATTAGGATGGTGATGGAGAGGCCGCGGGCGGCGAGGTGGTGGGCGAGGTCGAGGAGGGGGAGCATGTGGCCTTGGGCGGGGTAAGGGACGATTAGGATGTGGACGATGCCATTTTCGTCGGCGGCCATGGCTGCTGCTGCTTGTACCAATTTGAGAGAGAAGGAAAATCTGGTTAAACAATGGAATTGGGTTTTGATGTATTAAAAAATTTAAAACAAAAATACAAGTTAGATAGTATGTATTAGCTTCGTAATTATTGTTAATTATGGTATTGTTTCTCTATTATTTATTTTCAATTATAATATTATTCTAATGTATTTTTTTTTTCTTTGCACTTGTATAATATTTATATTTTATTTTGATAATTTAGAAATTAATTAAGTTGAAATTTTATTGTTAAATATGGGCTTAGTTGACTTCTTGAAATTTTGGGATTGGGCAATAGGACCGAAATATCTTGCTTTCTGGTCTTCCTGGCAACTTTCTCCTCCACCCCTTTCGAAGCCGTGGCTTTTGCTTTATTTTAAAAATACGAAGGGAAAGACTATTGAGTTCCCCAATTCCCTGTTAGTCAAAGCAAGGGCTGGTAAAGCGATTGGATAATTATTTTACAATTTCTTTTAACTCAAAATAAGGGCAAACTTAATTACTAGATTAATAAAAATTAAAATATTTATAATTATAAAAAATAAAATAATTTTGACCTAACTAATAATAATTAATAAATTTTATAACATTAAAATAACACACTACATTCTTTTTAAATTAAGTGTCAATCTATAATATTTGTCGCAATCTATAATATTTATAAATAATACACTACATTCTCTTTAAATTAATCGAAATAATATATGAGTAAAGAAATTAAGGGAGATGTGTTTTTGTTAGTATTATTTAATAATAATGTTCCAATATGAAATTTTCAAGCTCCTTAATTCTAAATAAGAACTCCAACATAAAAATGAAACTATTTTATAACAAGTAAAATAAATATATAATCATTTATGAAACTATTATATGCCCTAAAAATAAAAGAACAGAATAAAAATTAATATTATTATTCAAATCTATTTTTATGATAATCAATATATCTACATTGTTTTAATTTATATGATTCATCATCATTACCCTGCGCATAGATTGGCAACAATAACACTTCACTTAAAAGATTAGACCCTCAAAATTATATCACACTAGGTGGTGCTTAGATATAAGTTGTCATTCCATAATTTTAACTATCCATTACTTGTAATTACATATCTCGTACTTTTACATTAAATCACCCATAATCATTAGAATGGTGGTCATGCTTATACTATACTATCCAGAATCTCACCCAGAAATTCGATTATTGAACAATATCCGCAACTAATTCCATAAAACATCTGGCCGTATAAACTCAAATCGAATCGCAAAATCTGCATTTAGTAGAATGAGCAAATCCTTATGTAATTTTCCCATATGACCGAAAAAATCAGACTCAAACAAGTCTGCAGAAAAATGACCAAGTTTTGTGATCTTTCTTATGATTTCTTTCCAAGCGCAAGGTAAACACGCATGGGTCGCCCTTCTATTTCCTGACACACAAATAAAAAGAGAAGTACAAACTAATTAGCCAACAGTAGAGAACAAACTTCATGAATAGTTAAGAAAAAGAAAAAAAAAAGAAACTAACAATGCTCCTTATGTTGTGACAAGAAGACACTCTTCAAAGGCGCAATTATTCGTTTGGGTTTTCTGAAGACTTTCAAGATTTTAGAAATCTTGATTTGCTTATCTCAAGGTATAAATTTGAGTAATTATGAGTTATTTAACTTATTTGAGACTAGAAGATTAGTTAAGACTTTTTAAGATTTGTTATAATCTCAAAATAAAAACTATATATGAAATTCCACTTCAAATCTCACCTCCAGATGTACGATTCCAAATAAATACACCCCCTTTAGTTTATGTCCAGATATTCATTTGAGATTTTAAAAAATCATACAAAATCATGAGTTATTTAACTTATTTGAGACGATAGGATTATTTAAGGCTTTTTAAGATTTGTTGGAATTTAAAAAAAAAATTACATACGAAATCCCACTTTCAGACTTAGTATTTCATATATTGTTCCTGAATCTGAAAATATTAAAAAAGTTTCAAATCTCAAAAAATCTCAAAATGTCACTCGAAATCTCAAAACAAATATACCCCCTTAACCCTAAAAGATTTTTAGTTTTTTTTTTTTCGTTTAATCAAGACTAGAATTCGTACCACTCCATTGAGGGCTTGAAGCGCGTTTTCCATTTCATCTCTTGTTCGGTAGCTTACGAAGCCATAGCCACGAGACTTTCCCGTCTCTCCATCGTACAAAACCCTAGCTCCGACCACGTCACCATGTTCTTGAAAAGCTTGGGTTAGAATCTCGGAAGTGACGGTCCATGATAGGTTCCCAACAAATAGTTTGTGCTCGGTTTCCGGATATAATGGCACCTTCGGTCTAGGCTTGTCCGAGAAATTAACTCTCATTGTTCGACCACCAAATTCCTGCATTTAAACAAAGCCCATTTAATTTCCTTTTATATTTAATGCAAATTGCACCCAACAATTGAACAATGTTCTTTCTTTTTTACCTTTCCATCAAGATGTTGGATGACCGTATTGCACTCTTCGATGCTACTCATTGTCACAAACGCGAATCCTCTGCTTTTTCCGCTTTCCCTGTCGTAAAGAACCTACATATATATTGTCACAAAGTGAACATGGATATATGCATTAAGGGTAACAAAAGGTTTCACTTGTCTTAACATGGATATATAAGTTCAAGACTTCAATGAGTAAAAGAGGTTTATATTCTTGTGTAGTAAGTAGCTTTGAGTAACTTAATTTTAACAATAATGCACAATTGAATGCTTCACATACTCGTTACTATAAAGGATGTAAAACTTGAGGAGAAAATAATTTACATGAATCCACAAAATTAAAGTCTTTCAAATCAAGTTCTCATCCAAAATATGCATTTGCATACACTCCACAACATTTGTTTAAGATAGCCTAACGATTAGACAGATTGATGAGTTACACGCGTACTTACACTATATAAATGACGTACATATATATATGCATTATTTTACAAAAGATGACATTTTTTTCATGAAAGTATACATATCATGAGTTGAATAAAAAAAAAAGCATGCTGACCTAACACAAAACCTACCAATTTCAAGAATTCACACGATAAACAAATTATAATAAATTTTTTAATTTTTTTTTAGTGGGTCAATTTAAACAAATATACCTCAACTAGTTCTGGGCTAGCATAAGCATACTCTTGGATTATACCAGCAAGCTGCGAACTATCACAAAGGTACGGCAAATTCCCAAAATAAAGCTTCGTAGTTTCTCCGCCACTCTCCTCCTCCCCCACACCACCGTCCGGAAGCTCCTCAGCCGCCTCTTCCTCCGCCGGCTGCTCAGTCAGAGCCGCCGCCGCCTCCGCCTCTTCTTGGGCCACGGCCGCCGTTAGGCGCAGAATCCTCCACTTGGTGCTGCTAGTGGGGCTCAATCTCTGGTGAGAAAGTGAGAGAAATTGTAGTGATTTGGTACATGAAAATCTCAACATACGATTATTAGGCCAATTTCTGGAGCCTAAGCTTTTGGGGGTGTTGGGTGTGTAGAAAGAAGAGGAAATTGCAGTGGCTGCCATTCTTTCTTGGCAGGAACAAGTGATCTGTAGTTTTCTTCCCTTTTGGATTTGTGAAGTTCTGTTTTTTTGTTTTTTAGGTGATAAGAAGTGAGAAGGGGCAATGCTGATGTGGAGAGACTGTGTCCAATGGGATGAGAAAGTGATATTATGTGAGGATAAGGGATATTTGAGGGTTGTATNTTTTGATTTTATATTAAAATAATATTTAAAATAAAATAATTAAAACTTATTTGATGTAAAAGTATGAGAGAGATAGTGTGAAGTAAATTGTTGGTTAAAATTCTGTGAGTAAGTGAATAATGAATTAAAGTTGATGTGATATGTAACAATGATGGGTTGATGTTATTTAATTATATTGATAATATTGAGGATAATGTAATTAAGTTAGATTTTTTAGTATGAGTTGAAATAATTTATAAACACACACACCCTATATGTATATGAAACAGGTTCGATTATATTATTTAAAACTTGAAAATAAAAATAAGTTATTTGCAAACACGATTTGGTATGGCTCACTAGATAAACAAGTTCGCTTACTTGTTTGAGCAATGCTCATTCAAACGAGTCGAATCGAGTTGTATTTGCAAACTCGGTTCGGTTGTGCTCTCACAACATGAGGTGGAAAGTACCCCATATGATAAATAAAGATATGAATACTATTATCTTGTATCATCCAAATTGATAGTATACATTTTAATTTATGTAGTGTCACAACAATACAAGACCAACTTCAAGCAATATTTGAATCTCACACAACACAAGAACTTTCATCAGACACAACTCAACACACCTTTTTTCTGTACTAAAAAAGTGTTCATTTTTATTCACTTCTTCAAGATGGCATAGGCATCACTGTATATAGCAACCAAACTCGTGAAAATGGCGAGTCCTATCATGAAAACAGCCAAGACTCTATCTTTTTTCGAGCTTATGCAGTGAACATCCCTCAAAGCAATCGAGGCCGGAAAAATAAACCCAATACACACAGTTGAAGTCGAGCCCGTGAACTGAAACGCATCCCATATGCTTGGCACGAAATTCGCACACAAGAAAATAACACAAACGAGCCCACAAGTGATCCAAACGAACCGAACATTGTTATCCGCCAAACGAGCAGCGTTTGGAAAAATCAAGCCGTCAACATTCAGTCGAAGAGAATAGAATATGACGGGAAAAACGAGCATGAGGTGAAGTGCGTAGCTAATTCGAACTGCATCGTTTAGCATAGAACCAAAAGGGATATCAAGATTCGTGTCGAAATTGGAAAGTACATCGTCTAGAGTCGAGTCTCCGAATAATAAAAACCCGAAAAAGCTCGTCATTATGTAAGTAAACGAGCATAGGGCAAGCGAAGTTCGAACCACGGATTTTATGGTCGAACGGTCTTCAAGCTCGGTTTCGATGTTGTGCACTGAATGAAAATTTAGAAACAGAGAGAAAAAAAATAACACACACACACACACAACTTCTCATAGAATATATGGTGAAATTTTCGATTTACCGTTAAAATGGCATACATATGCAGTAACAAGAACTGGGACGACAGTGAAAAGTGCCCAGATGGAGTTCATATCAGTAACTACCGGTAAAAATCTCGGCATTTTAATGGTTCCTTGCAGAAATTTGTACACACAAATGGCAGCAGTAATGAAAACAAACACAAATGCAAGGAAAACTGCCACTGCCGAGGAGTGTCGCAAAGAATCTGCAATAAAACCGAAAAGGAAAGGAAAAACAAATCAAGAAACAAATCCATATGACCAAGAAATAACAAGATTCAATACTTGTAAAATTATTGAATTCCTATCTATTGAGACTATATAAGTTTTTGAAAAGAAATAATAATTTTAATTCGTACCGATGCGTTTAAAAAATGCCAATGGAGTGAAGACAAAAAGGGTCGTGACAAGAAGAATGAAAAACCGTTTGTTCCACCATTGCTCCCCAAACCAGCCTTCCAAAACTCCAGCATGATGAACCCCACTTGAAGATGATCCAGATAGCACATCACCTAAAACCAAATAATGATAATATAAAAAAGCTCTAAACTACAAAACTTCCCCTGAAAAGTCAGCTTAATCACAGAATTAACCTAATCATCTCAAATACTAAACAATCATCCAAACATGACAAAAATTACCACAAGAATTCCAAGGGAAAAAAAAAAAAGAAAAGAAAAAAGGAAACACATATCAAAATAATCAAAAACCATACCAATAATGATCATGTAAACCACAAGCACCCCAACATTATTAGTCAAGATACAAACTTGCAGCAATTTCTTGCCCAAAACCCCAAAAGAGTCCCCCATCACACAACCGTAAGTGACGGCCCGGCCCGCTTTACTGAACCGGAGCAAGAAGTCCAGAGAGACCTCCGTGAGGATGGCGACGAGCACTATGGCCGCGACTCCCGGCCCGAGCCCGAGTACCTTCATGGCCGCCGGCAACGCCATGATTCCGGCGCCGATTATGGTGGTCGACAGGTTGAGAACCGCACCTGTAAAGGAAGCCCCATTAAATTCTTGGCGATTAAAGCTGTTATTGGCATTAATGGGTTCTGTTTTTTGGGGGAGTATTAGAGGTGCTTTGAGGGTCATGGCTCGAAACCCAGTGAAAAAAAATCGAGTCTTTGGAAATGGGATGGAAAAATATCTGCGTTTTGTAGGGAATAAAATTTGGACCTGCTTATCATATGGCCAGTCACCATTCTTATCAAGAGTGTGATGTTGAATGAAACTAAGAGAAAAAGAAAAAAAATAGAAATTGAATTCCATGGTGTAATAAATTCACTAAATTGGCGTATGTGGCGAATGGGGCTCGCTTTCTTATCATTTGTGAGAGTTTTGGTACAATTTTTTAGTAATAAATGAAGTGTAGAAAAAGAAAATCTGAGTTTACGTTTGTAGAACAACTTTATGTTTCTTGATATTATTATATTAATGTCGTTTTTCAGGCAATGTGCTGTCATCAAGTAATGCCACGCATTACACCCTATCTAGTTATTTGCTAGCGTAGATTTTCTCTAGCAAGCCATAATTAAAATTTTATCTCTAATGATTCAGCCTACATTTTGCTATACAATTATGATATCATAAATTCATAATCATATACATTTTGCTGTCATCAATTATGAGTGTTGACATAATTGATTCAATGTAGTATGATATCGTATACAACAATTTAGGGTTATTTGAACTTGCGTGGTATGGCTATTTGTAGATAGAATCATACAAGAAAAAAATTAATAAAACATGACTATTAAATATATAAATAAAAAAACGATTTTTCTTGTTCTTCAAGACATTGGAAAAATTCCCTTTAATAAATTATGAATTGCATTCAATCAGTCAAGATAACAAGGAGGAGAAAATAAAAATCATATTACAACAACGAATATTTATTCTTAAACAACTTGTTCTGACCGAATATCATAAGAAAACAAATGAAATATTTAGGGTCTTAAATTCTTACACAAAGTACATATTTTGCTATTAGCCCTTTCATTAATTAGCCTCTTGATTTGTGTAATGGACCAAGTTCATATTTAGCCATTAGCCCCTTTATTTGTGTAAATAAACAAAACCAAACACAAATACATAAAACATTAAAAAAAAATTAAGGCCCCTAAAAATTGGAGGCCCTAGGCATTAGGTGCCTCCCCCGGACCTGATAGTGTGCTCAACTCTTATGTTGAGCTGCCATAACTAGGTTTAGAATATGCTCCAGGTCGATTTGACAGAGGTCAAGGTTACAATGGAGGTAGGATGAGTGGGTCAGGTCATGAGGAGGTCAAGCTGTTACAAGTATGATTAGGTCAAGTTAAGGAATTAAGTTTAGTTAAGTTAGAATGTAGGATTTCACAAGGTACTCTATTTGAAGTATGGTTAGGTCAAGCTAAGAAACTAAGTTTAGTTAAGTTAGAATATCATAAGGTACTCGATTTGAAGTATGAGATCCCAAGATTCAGAGAATTTATACTTAAAGAGGATAACGAGAAATCTCCGATGATATAAGGTTTCAATAAAATGTTGGGTGATAAAGTAAATTTATTATATTTAACGCGAATAATGAGAAATCTCCGGAAAAATAAGGTTTCTCTTTATATTAGTGAAAGTGTAGGGGATGATAAAAAATAAAATAAAAAAAATTACTGTCTCTCGGCTCTCTCTTCTCTCACTCTAAAAAACCAGGGAAACTAAGGACAATTCGACTGCCCCCCTCCTATCGGCCGATTGTTGCCCTTCCGGAGCCATGCGGGAGAATTGCTCGGAGATGGCTCCCGTCGAACCGCCTTTCTCGTTGGATGAGGTTGGGTCGCTGGCCTGAAGTGTTTAACCTACAGTTTCGGGAGTCCGCCGGCCCGTCAGTGCTTTTGTGGCAGCTTCCTCCTCCCCCTCGGTGTTGAAGACCTTCGAAGCACATATTTGAATCGAGAATTGCGTCTTCGTCAGATCTGTCTAGGCGGTTCGAGTTTGGCCGTAGTTTTTGTGTCTGGGGCCTCAATTTGCTGTTGTGTTGGGCTTCTGTCTGCGATGAGAGATTCGGTTGCCAGTTCGGTTGGTCATTTGGTTCCCCGCTTGGTTTAGGGGAGGTGCTGTTGTACTTGTTTATTAGGTGTGCGTAGTTTTGTATGTGTCTTTCTTTGTTTGTCGTTTTGTTCAGTTCAACGATGTCTGGATTATAGTCTCCTTTATAGAGCTAGTATCTTCTTTATGGAGTTTTTGTTTAACGGTTAGTTGTGTCTCCTTGATGGAGTTTGTATCCCGTTGGTCACTTGTGTAATTCAAAAGGGGTAGAATCAGATTTTGTTCTGATTTGAGTGGTATCCATTGACTCGATTGTACTCTTTTGAGTTTACAAGTTATTAGTATAATTGCCATTTGATAATGGGTGAGGACTGAGAAGGTAATTGTGTAATACAATGGAGAGAGAGATGTGTAATAATCTAAATATAGTGACGTAATCTAAAATAAACTGAATTTTTTAACAAAGAAATCTACCTGCATTAATCCAATCCCTATTTGTAAAATAAGTCGTGTCTATTTCTTTCCCCACTTGTGAAACATTTACAAGCACAAGATTATAACTGAAGATTCATATTATCATTATCAAGTCCACTTACATACAGAAAGGGGAAAATTAAATATTAAAATCTTAGAAGAGGTTAATTAAATATTAAAATCTAAGCAATCAATTACATGAACACCTAGTAAAAAAATAAATATAAAACACCAAGAAAAAAAATATAATCACGATCCTTGAAGTGTCCCAGAAAGCGTCAACACACCCCAAACAAACAATTTTTCAAATATCATTTTACCCTTGATTGAACAAGAACAATATATCCTCTCTGGCAGAACCGTAAAAAAATTCAAACAGAACAATTTTATCATGCTCCAATAGCAGCCCCAAGGTATATATAATCTTGTATCAGCCAATCTTCTTCTTTTTTTTTTTCTTTTCCTTTTTTCTTTTGTGTTTTTTGCCCTCATGTGATCCTTTAAGGATCAGCTTTCCCATGACCTGCCAAAGATTACATTGTTAGTATATTATTAGACTTGAAAGGAAGAATTTGACGGAAAAATCACATTTTTTTTATACCACTTAAATCCGAACTATTGAGAGGCGCGCTTAAATTGAACCCATTATGAACAACGTTATGAAGCTCATCGTTCCACACACTCGGTGCCTGCATATGCTGACATCAACAAAAAAGTGTATTAGGAAAAGATAATTTAAAACAATGTAAAATACACCATTAATGTGTGTCTATTAATGGTAAGAGTGTAAGATGATCCTGGGGCAAAGTTGATGAAAACACACACAATTTATGGAGTAAAAGTCCAACCAAAGAAAAATTTGTGGGCTAATGCACCCAAAAAAAACTTCTAGAATTTGAGTCATTTATGTAAAACAAACATCTTTTTAACTTAATTTCCCAAAAAAATCTGACCCTTGAGGGTGTTTAGTGAATGTGAAATTTTTATTCAAAAGAGAAAAAAAAATCTTGAACAAGAGAGGCTTAATTATTGTCCAAGAATACGCGTAGATGAAACTTACTTGCGAGGTAGGCTCTCTAAATCCTCCAGAGACAACAACATTTGACTGAGGATTATTAATTGGTCTATGCAGTGTTGTTGCGTGGATTAGTTGAGTTTGTTGTGGTTGAATCGGAGAAAAAGAAGTGATCAAGTCCGGTGGAAAACCGAGTGAAGATGACAGACCAGCTCTAGTCTGTAGGATCTGTTTGTGAATTAAATTTCGCTTTATAAAAATTTAACTTGGAGCTTTTTTTTTTATTTAGAAATCCAAATAGCTTACATCTTTAGCAAGAAACCCTTCCATATCGAAATCCAGGCTCGGGTTCACCGTTGCAAGCTTCATCGACAAGAACTGTTATAAAATGAGAAATGCACTCAAATCAATTTCTTGTAGAAGTAATGCAAATTGCACATTGAGAAAAAGTAAATAAATAAATAAATAAAGTACTCATAATCACCTCAACTTGCCGCTGAAGGGATTGCACATAGTTGATTATCTCATCCAACATTACAGCTTTTCCAGTGACCTGCTAGTTAGGAATAAAACATGTCAAAGTAATATCTATATATCCATAAAATTAGAAATTAACAATATATTTATATAAATATGTGTATACAATATGAAATAATATTAACAATCATCGGTTTACCTTACTGCAACCCGGGACAAGATCCTGCAGAAATTTCATCCTCTCACTAATCTTCTCCCTTCTTATCTACATATAGAAAAAGGGCAAATAAAAGTCCTTAACTTTTGCAAGAAAAAACACATATAAAATATAATTCCTTTACTTAATTGCACCACAAGTGTAACAAGCAAAAACTAAAAATACAAATCTACCCTTTCGGCAAGACTGTGGCTATTTGTAGCCTGGCCTCTTCGTGCTCGAACGTGTATATACTCTTCCTTGGGCGGGTCAGACCCTTTTTCACTCGGGTCCCCATTTTCATTACCCTTTCCTCTAATTTCATTCATGTCCTTCTCTGTCTCAATAGCCGCTTGTGCAGCTTCGTTATTTTTGCCATTCACAATTTTCTAACACGCCAAATAGCCAACCATAAATCAGTTAAGAATTTTTTTTTTTTAAAAAAAGACTAAGGAATAAATGATAAATCAAATAAAATTCAGAACAATTGTAAGTTCTACCTGCTCAGCTCTTTTCCTCTTCTTCAATCCAACCCCTTTACCCGAAAACTCTTCTCGACCTTCACGGCCGCTAAATTCGGCCTCTTCACGGTTTTTGACTTCATCATGAGACTGCCTAAAATGCTCGATTTTCTTCTCGTTCTTGAATGGGCTTCCTCTTCCTCCAGTCCCATTTCCCACTAAGGCCTCGTTTGGCCGTTGCATTAGTCCTGGACGAGAATCTGGATTGATATGACCAAGATTGGTGAAAGGATTGACAATCTGACTTAAGTTCACTCCACTGAAGCAAGAAAATTTTGCGGCACGCTCGATAAAGTCGGAATCTTCCGGAAAGTTGGGTAAACCAGGAGGAACGACCATGCTCGGAAAAGTCGACGGCATAAACATATTTTGTCTTAAGGCCACGTTTGGCAAAGGGCTCGACGTGCTGGCTTCATTTTGTGCATTCACATCACTGTAGCCTAGAATCTGCCCGTTTATCGGTGGGTCCCACATGGGAGAGCAGAAAGAGCCCACCAAAGAGGTGGAAGGACAGGATGAAAGTAATCCCATTGATGAGTTTGTTGTGGTGTTTGGAGTGAGATGCCAATCAGAAGAAATATTGGGTGCATGATAATTTACAGTCTCCTCAGTAGCTTTAGGTGGCTCAAGAGTAGGATCATTTACAGGCATCTCCATTTGTTTTTTTNTCAATTGGAGACGAAGAAAAATAACAAATTTTGAGATCTAATTAGCCCCTCAAAGTTTCTTTCCTAAAATCCAAGAAATCCCTGAAAAATAACAGCAGAAATAGAAAATTAACTCACCACACTAATACTAGATCACTACTTTCCTGCGGAATTTCCCAACATATGATGAGAAAATTGGCACAAGAAAAAAAACAAAAAAATAAAACAACAAGAACAGTGAATGACCCAGTTCAATTTATGACTTCAGAATTTAAGACAAACAAACATAGCACAGAGCGAGAAATCACTAAAATTAAAGCTACCTCTTCGAAAACCAAAAGCCCCACCCAAAGGGCTATTAATGCCCTTTAAGAAGAAAAGAAGATAAAGCTAAAAGGGGACAAAAACCCAGTTCATTAAAGGGGTCAAGATAATCTAGTCAATTGAAAGCATAAAGAGCATTGATTTCAGAACAATAAATACCACAACAAATTTCTCAATAAATTCACAAACCCTATGGTCAGATGTAAGGAAAAAAGAACATCATCCATCATCCGTGTAAGAAGGTACCCTGGTGAAAACAGAACTCAAATCGTGTAAAAGAGAAAAAAGAAGGAAAAGATACCATTTTCAGATTGTGGGCTTGCCTTTAAGAGCGTCTGTACAGCTTTTGAACGAGACCCTTCAACAAAAAATATTATTTTTTGTTAATTTTTTTTTTTTTTTATTGAAAGTTTTGAAATTCAGTCCTTGATGATTACTGTTCAAAGTTGTGGCAGTTGAGCATAATGCACAGTGACAGTGAGCAGTCAAGGGAACAATAAAGACGGAGAGAGAGAGAGAATGGGTGTATCTGAAGGAAGTGAAAAGTTAAAGGTTAGGAGGAAAAATGTTGAATATATATATACCCACGCCTTGCATAAAAAACAGAGCTCCTTTATATGATTAACTGGTAACCACCGCCACTGTTAACTCTTTTATTAAGAATGTCTAAATCATGTTCATTTCTGCAATGTTTAATTACAGTGTTATATTTTTTGAGCAAGTAGATTTTGACTTTTTTCTATAGACTTTTATTTCTTTTAAAACTGTAAAATATTTTGCCAACTTCAATTTTAAATATATTTAAAATTTGATAATTTTTATATTTATTATAG